CTATTATGATTCCCTTCTCATTTCTTTTCAGGAGCCCTGGTGGCTCAGTGGTTAAGCATTAGGTTGCTAACCAAAAGATCAGCAGTTTGAATCCACCAGCCACTCCTTGGAAACCTTATGGGACAGTTCTACTCTGTCCTGTAGCGTCACTGTAAGTCAGAACCAACTCAATGGCAATGAGTTTTTTTGGTTTTCTCATTTCTTTTACTATATACTTTTTAGTTATTTTCTTAACAGTTACCTCGGGATTACAATTAACATTTTCATCTGTAACCAGGGCTTTGAACCAGTTCTTTCCAGTTCAGTCGTGTCTGAGGAAGCAAAATCGGAACAGGCCCAAATTTTAAAAAATTGGGTGAACCAGTATGGGGAAAATAATGAGTCAAAGCCCTGCTAGAAACCTGATCTCTCTATTAGAAAACAAGGGTAATGTACATGTTGCATAGCAACCAAATCTCTTGCTTATTGGATTTTGAGCAGAGTTGGAAACAGTGGTGCCCCGCTCAAAGATGACAGCCGACCACACTGCTTTGAATGTGTGTCACTCTCCACAGTCCTGCCAATCATCCAGCCTCACACATCAGTCTCCTGAAAGGGCTCACTATGCCTCTTCCGAGTCTCGCATTCCAGGACTTGGACCCGTAACTTTTCATATTTCATTTATCGTTCCTGATCACCCTAATTTTAAAAATTCAGTTCCGATTTTACTTCATCAGCCATGGCTGAACTGGTTCAGAGCCCTGTTTATGACAGTCTAATTTGAATTAAGGAGCGCTGGTGGCGCAGCGCACAGCTACTAACAAAGGTTGTTGGTTCGAACCCACCCAGCAGTTCTGCAGGAGAAAGACCTGGTGATCTGTTCCTTTAAAGATTATAGCCTAGAAAACCCTATGGAGCAGTTCTGGTCTGTCACATGTAGTCACTATGAGTAGAAATCAGCTTGATGGCACCTAACAATAATAGTTTGAATTAATACCAATGTAAGTTACATAGTATACACAAACTTTCTTCATATATACCTCCATCCCACCCGTTTTATGTTGTTATTATTACATATGCACACCAATTAAACCTTTATACATTGTACGAGCTTTAACACAGATTTACAATTATTGTTTTATGTAGTTGTCTTTTAAGTCATAAAGGAAAAAGAAAGTAGTTAAGATCGAGAAATACATTAGTACTGACTTTATATTTACCTATGTGGTTATCTTTGCTGTTGGTGTTGCGTGTTATCGAGTCGATTCTGACTCATAGCAATCCTATAGGGCAGAGTAGAACTGCCTCATAGGGTTTCCAAGGAGTGGCTGGTGGGTTGGAACTGCCAACCTTTTGTTTAACAGCCAAACTCTTACCACTGGGCCACCAGGGCTCCAAACTTTGCCGTAAACTCTTAGTTTTCTTTCTCCTTTCACTCTTTAATAGTGGTCTTTATTTCTTTGTATGGATTCGAGTTAATGTCTAATGTCCTTTCATTTCAGTCTGAAGGACTCTTTGCTGTTGTTGTTGAGAATATGTACAGCTAAACATGCACCAACTCAACAGTTTCTACATGTATAATTCAGTGACGTGATTATGTTCTTCAAGTTGTGCCACCATTCTCACCTTCCTTTTCTGAGTTATTCCTTTCTCAATAACATAAACTCACTGCCCTCTAAGGTTCCTATCTAATCTTTCCAGTTGCTGTTGTAAAACTGATACCATATAGATAGTTCTTAGAAGAGCATAATACTGGAGGTAGACATTTTTTACTAGTTAAGCTAAACTATTGTTTGGTTTTAAGAAGACTCCAGGTGGTATTTTTAGTTTAAGGTTTAAAGATTATCTCAGAGGCTAAAGGTGCACAGCAGCCCAGGGACAAGGACTAGAAGGCAGGAGGAGACAGGAAGGCTGGTAATAGGGAACCCAAGGTCAAGAGTGTTGACATGTTGTGGGGTTGTTAACCAGTGTCATAAAACAATATGTGTACTAACTGTTTGATGAGAAACTAGTTTGTTCTGTAAACCTTCATCTAAAGTACAATAAAAATAAATAAATAGAAAAAAATAAAAAGATTATCTCAGAACGTAGTTTCGGGGGTTCATCCAGCCTCCATTGCTCCAGAAAGTCAGGAGTTCATGAGAATTTGAAGTTCTGTTCTGTATATTCCACCTTTTGATCTAGATTCTTCTGTAGAATCTCTGATCGAGATATTCAATAATGGTATCCGGGTAGCATCCAGTTCTTCTGGTCTCATAGCGAAAGAGGCAGTCGTTCATGGACGCAATTAACCGCACATTCCGTATCCTCCTCCTATTCCTGACTCTTCTTCCTCTGTTGCTCTGAGTGAATAGAGACCCATTTTTGTGCCTTGGATGGCCACTTGCAAGCTTTTAAGACCCCAGGAACTACGCAACAAACTAGGAGGTATAACAGAAGCATTACTGAAGGACTCTTTTTAGCATTCTTGTAGGGAAGATCTAGTGGTAATAAACTTCCTCGAGTTTTATTTATCTGACAATATCTTAATTTCATCTTTTTTTTTTAATTGTGCTTTAGGTGAAGGTTTACAGAGCAAATTAGTTTCTCATTAAACAGTTAATACACATATTATTTTGTGACATTGGTTGCCAACCCCAGAACATGTCAACACTCTCCCTTTCTCGACCTTGGGTTCCCCATTACCAATTTTCATGTGCCCTCCTGCCTTCTCATCCTTGCCCCTGTGCTGGTGTGCCTATTTAGTCTTGCTTTGCTTTATGGGCCTGTCTAATCTTTGGCTGAAGGGTGAACCTTAGGAGTGGCTTCAGTACTAAATTAAAAGGGTGTGCAGGGACCATACTCTTGGGGTTTCTCGAGTGTCTGTCAGACCAGTAAGTCTGGTCTTTTTTTGTGAGTTAGAATGTTGTTCTATATTTTTCTCTAGCTCTGTCCAGGACCCTCTATTGTGATCCCTATCAGAGCAGTCGGTGATGGTCGCTGGGCACCATCTAGTTGTGCTAGACTCAGTCTGGTGGAGGCTGTGGTAGTTGTGGTCCATTAGTCCTATGGGCTAATCTTTCCTTTGTGTCTTTGGTTAGTTTCTTCATCATTTTTGAAGGATACCTTTGCTGGATATAAATTTCTTGGTGGACAGTTTTTGTTTCTTTGTTTTTATTTTTTCCCAGTGCTTTGAATATGTCACCCCACTCACTTCTGGTCTCCATGGCTTTTAATGAAAAATCAGCTGTTAATCTTATTGATGGTCCCTTATACATGATGAGTCGCTTTTCACTTGATGCTTTCAGGATTCTCTCTTTGTGTTTTGCTTTTAACAGTATGATTATGTGTCTTGTGGTGGCTGTCTTTTGAGTTTATGCCACTTGGAGATCATTGAACTTCTTAGATATGTAGATTCATGTCTTTCAGCATATTTGGGAAGTTTCTGAAGATCATTTCTTCATATATTCTTTCTGTCCCATTTTCGCTTTCTTTCCATGGAACTCCCATTACGTATATGTTGGCATGCTTGATGGTGTCCCACCAGGTCTCTTAGACTCTCTTCATTTTTCTTTGTTCCTTCTTCTTTCTGCTTCTCAAACTGAGTAATCTCAGTTGAGATTAATCTCTGGAACCTAAAAAGCTCCCAGTCTTTGCAGAAAGATCGTGTGTGTTTGTGTGTGTGTGTGTGTGTGTGTGTGTTTGTTTGGGGGCACACCTTCAACACTCACCCAGGCAGTTTACAACACTGCCTTAGATTTCCCTTCCTGCTAGTGCACTTGAAGGTCAACCAGAAGTGAGAGCTTTCAGCCTTCTCAAGTCTCTTCTGAGTATTCGCCCAGCCCTGGGCATGCCTTTCGAGATTACCAGTAAAATATGTGAACTTTTCAAAACCTTTATTTCCAAAGCATCTCATTCCCCATCCTTTTCTTCCTAGTTTTGGTTTGTCTGTTGTTTACATGTTATCAGGAGGGATCAGTCCCAGGAGAAGGACATCATGCTTGGTAGAGGGTCAACGAAAAACAGGAAGACCCTCAACAAGATGGATTGACACGATGGGCTCAAATATAGCAACAATTGTGATTGTGAGAATGACACAGGACTGGGCAGTGTTGCGTTCAGCCAACTCCACGGCACCTAAAAACAACAACAACATTGTTTGCCCCAACAGTTATCCCTTGCCCCAGGCAGCAGCTGCTAATATGTTTGCCTTTAAATGCGTATGACAAATGCTGTACCCTTCCCCTATCTCCCTTTGGAGAGTTTTAATTTAGGCACAATAAAGGCAAGACTTTTGAGCTGGTCTTTCAGGGAGCCAGACCAGTGCAAAGAAATAACCAAAACCTCTTTGAAAATGAGATCCGTTCTGCTCCTTCCGGTAGTGGTGTTGTTGTGTGTCGTCTAGTGAATTCTGACTCACAGTGACCCTATATGACAGGGTAGAACTGCCTCATAGTATTTCCTAGATTGTGATCTTTACAGGAGTAGATCACCAGGTTTTTTCTCCCGTGGAGCAGCTGGTGGGTTCAAACTGCCAATCTTTGGGTTAGCAGCCAAGCGCTTAACTATTTGTGCCGTTCGGGCTCCTTTTGGAGTTCTCTACTCCTCCATTTTCACTGACATATCCTCCTTTATAATGTTGAGTTTTTTCGTTTGTTTGTTTAATGTAGCTTGCAGCACACTCATGAGTTAGGGTCTGCAGTTTGAAAAACACTGGTCTAATATCCTTGCTGTCCTAAAAATATACAAACTAAGCAGGACTCCACTCTAAGACGTGTTAATTAACTATGTTTGTTTAAACTTTAACAGAGGAATCTGCAAATATAACTGAAGTGATTTATTCCACCACCCTTTTCATATATGTTGGCAAAATTTGTGGCTTCTTCTTACCATGTATGTTATCAGAATATCCAGAAAAGTTTCTCAGTGGGGCCCCTTTTTAGTGATGTGCTCACCTCCACAAAGTCCTTAGACTTCAGAATGTACTGTCCAGTTACATCTTAGAGTGATGTTACTAACAGACTCCTGTTCCTTTGTTTCAGCTTTGGGATATCCGTAAGAAAGCAGCCATCCAAACATTTCAAAACACCTACCAGGTGTTAGCTGTGACCTTCAATGACACAAGTGATCAGATTATTTCTGGTGGCATAGACAATGATATCAAGGTATGTTTGATGCTTAATCATTCCCTCTCACCTTTTTCTACTCACAGAGGTGAATCTTTTCAAACTTCTGAGATTGTGGTAGCTTTGTACTTAATACCTGTTGAAGGAGGATAGTAACTTGGAACTTCCTTTGTCTCCTATCCTCATTGACTTCCTAAATCAAAGGTTGCGTTGCAACTCATATAAATGCCTTTAGGGACCAGGCAGGTAATGTGAAATCCCTGAGTGAGGACTATGTGGAAATGAAGAGTGCAATCCCTGCCTAAAGACATTCGAAATCAATTTTTAAAAAACTGTTCTGTCCTAAGCCCCATAAAACCAAATGAGACTAACGAGGCACAGCAGTCCAGGGACAACAGCCAGAAGGCAGAAGGGGACAGGAAAGCTGGTGATAGGGAACCCAAGGTTGAGTAAGGATA